GAGCCTCCACCTCCCTCCCGCAGATGCTGGCCGTGTCGGCGCTGCTCCCGTACGACAACCAGGACGGCGGGGCGTGGAAGCAGGGCTTCGACATCACCTACGAGCCCCACGAGTGGGACGCGCAGCCGCTGCAGGTCTTCGTGGTGCCCCACTCGCACAACGACCCAGGTAAGCCGGCCGGCCGGCCGGCCAGCAAATCCTCCGGAGGGCTTGCCGGAGCCTGTCGGGCGGCGGGTTCAGGTCAGGTCCTGGAGGAGGCCCGGGTAGCCTCGTAGGATGCAGGACCCGGTGGAGAAGGAGGATGTCTCGGTGGGTTAGGCCCTGGAGCACAGTGACGTTCAACAGAGACGGATGCACCCTTGTCGTCTAAGAAAACGACTCAACTGCTTGGCGTCATACCTTCATTTTACCCTTCGTGATTGATCCCCACTTCAGTCCTTACCTTTTGGAGTGAGCAGTTACACAGAGGACAGAAAAGAAATAAGAAATGGTAACCCAAAGAAATTAAATGCATGATCAGAAAAGCAAGCGTAGCTAAGAAAAAGCTATATAACAGAGAAGGAAATGTAGGTGAAAGTACTTTTACACCAACACTGTTCACTTCCAATAGAAGAGAATATCTGCAGCTCAGGGTTGAACTGTGGAGTCCTTGGTGCTCTCTGAGCTTGGTTGTTTGCTTGCAGATGTTTCATCACCCAACTAGGTAACTTCATCAGTGTGAGTGAGTGTGGGGTTTGCTCCCTGTTTATACACACTAGCTTGCTGTGCCAGTGTTGGTGGGGGAGTGGTTTTCTCCTGGGTCATTCCTTGTTTAGGGTATTGTTTTCTGCTTGATTGTTTGCTTTTTTCTTAGCTTTTTTACTGTCTCTTTTGAGCGGTGTGTAAATGTGGTTTATCTCTATGTGTCTATTGATGGCTGAAAAAGAAAAAAAAGAAAAAGCAAAAGCTAAGAAGTAGCCAAAAAGGACCAGAGCACATCCCCTCCAGTAGCCAACACCAGATAAGCAGGGATTAACACCAAA